CCCTTAGGCGCCCGGGACTGAGTCACGCATCCCTCCTCCCTTAGGCGCCCAGGACTGAGTCTCGCATCCCTCCTCCCTTGGGCGCCCGGGACTGAGTCTTGCATCCCTCCTCCCTTGGGCGCCCGGGACTGAGTCACGCATCCCTCCTCCCTTAGGCGCCCAGGACTGAGTCTCGCATCCCTCCTCCCTTAGGCGCCCGGGACTGAGTCGCGCATCCCTCCTCCCTTGGGCGCCCGGGACTGAGTCGCGCATCCCTCCTCCCTTGGGCGCCCAGGACTGAGTCTCGCATCCCTCCTCCCTTGGGCGCCCGGGACTGAGTCGCGCAACCCTCCTCCCTTAGGCGCCCGGGACTGAGTCGCGCATCCCTCCTCCCTTGGGCGTTCGGGACTGAGTCGCACATCCCTCCTCCCTTAGGGACTGAGTCGCACATCCCTCCTCCCTGAGGCGCCCGGGACTGAGTCGCGCATCCCTCCTCCCTTAGGCTCCCGGGACTGAGTCGCGCATCCCTCCTCCCTTGCGCGCCCGGGACTGAGTCGCGCATCCCTCCTCCCTTGGGCGCCCGGGACTGAGTCGCGCATCCCTCCTCCCTTGGGCGCCCGGGACTGAGTCTCGCATCCCTCCTCCCTTGGGCGCCCGGGACTGAGTCGCGCAACCCTCCTCCCTTAGGCGCCCGGTACTGAGTCGCGCATCCCTCCTCCCTTGGGCGTTCGGGACTGAGTCGCACATCCCTCCTCCCTTAGGCGCCCGGGACTGAGTCGCACATCCCTCCTCCCTTAGGGACTGAGTCGCACATCCCTCCTCCCTTAGGGACTGAGTCGCGCATCCCTCCTCCCTTAGGGACTGAGTCGCGCATCCCTCCTCCCTGAGGCGCCCGGGACTGAGTCGCGCATCCCTCCTCCCTTAGGCGCCCGGGACTGAGTCGCGCATCCCTCCTCCCTTGCGCGCCCGGGACTGAGTCGCGCATCCCTCCTCCCTTAGGCGCCCGGGACTGAGTCGCGCATCCCTCCTCCCTTGGGCGTTCGGGACTTAGTCGCGCATCCCTCCTCCCTTGGGCGTTCGGGACTTAGTCGCGCATCCCTCCTCCCTTAGGCGCCCAGGACTGAGTCTCGCATCCCTCCTCCCTTAGGCACCCGGGACTGAGTCGCGCATCCCTCCTCCCTTGGGCGCCCGGGACTGAGTCGCGCATCCCTCCTCCCTTGGGCGCCCAGGACTGAGTCTCGCATCCCTCCTCCCTTGGGCGCCCGGGACTGAGTCGCGCAACCCTCCTCCCTTAGGCGCCCGGGACTGAGTCGCGCATCCCTCCTCCCTTGGGCGTTCGGGACTGAGTCGCACATCCCTCCTCCCTTAGGCGCCCGGGACTGAGTCGCACATCCCTCCTCCCTTAGGGACTGAGTCGCACATCCCTCCTCCCTTAGGGACTGAGTCGCGCATCCCTCCTCCCTTAGGGACTGAGTCGCGCATCCCTCCTCCCTGAGGCGCCCGGGACTGAGTCGCTCATCCCTCCTCCCTTAGGCGCCCGGGACTGAGTCGCGCATCCCTCCTCCCTTGCGCGCCCGGGACTGAGTCGCGCATCCCTCCTCCCTTAGGCGCCCAGGACTGAGTCGCGCATCCCTCCTCCCTTAGGCGCCCGGGACTGAGTCGCGCATCCCTCCTCCCTTGGGCGCCCGGGACTGAGTCGCGCATCCCTCCTCCCTTGGGCGCCCGGGACTGAGTCGCGCATCCCTCCTCCCTTGGGCGCCCGGGACTGAGTCGCGCATCCCTCCTCCCTTGGGCGCCCGGGACTGAGTCGCGCATCCCTCCTCCCTTGGGTGCCATGGACTGAGTCGCACATCCCTCCTCCCTTGCGCGCCCGGGACTGAGTCGCGCATCCCTCCTCCCTTGGGCGCCCGGGACTGAGTCACGCATCCCTCCTCCCTGAGGCGCCCGGGACTGAGTCGCACATCCCTCCTCCCTTAGGCGCCCGAGACTGAGTCGCGCATCCCTCCTCCCTTAGGCGCCCGAGACTGAGTCGCGCATCCCTCCTCCCTTAGGCGCCCGGGACTGAGTCGCGCATCCCTCCTCCCTGAGGCGCCCGGGACTGAGTTGCGCATCCCTCCTCCCTTAGGCGCCCGAGACTGAGTCGCGCATCCCTCCTCCCTTAGGCGCCCGGGACTGAGTCGCGCATCCCTCCTCCCTTGGGCGCCATGGACTGAGTCGCGCATGCCTCCTCCCTTAGGGACTGAGTCGCGCATCCCTCCTCCCTTAGGGACTGAGTCGCGCATCCCTCCTCCCTTAGGCGCCCGGGACTGAGTCGCGCATCCCTCCTCCCTTGGGCGCCATGGACTGAGTCGCGCATCCCTCCTCCCTTGGGCGCCATGGACTGAGTCGCGCATCCCTCCTCCCTTAGGCGCCCGGGACTTAGTCGCGCATCCCTCCTCCCTTGGGCGTTCGGGACTTAGTCGCGCATCCCTCCTCCCTTAGGCGCCCGGGACTGAGTCGCGCATCCCTCCTCCCTTGGGCGCCCGGGACTGAGTCGCGCATCCCTCCTCCCTTGGGCGCCATGGACTGAGTCGCGCATCCCTCCTCCCTTAGGCGCCCGGGACTTAGTCGCGCATCCCTCCTCCCTTGGGCGTTCGGGACTTAGTCGCGCATCCCTCCTCCCTTAGGCGCCCGGGACTGAGTCGCGCATCCCTCCTCCCTTGGGCGCCCGGGACTGAGTCGCGCATCCCTCCTCCCTTGGGCGCCCAGGACTGAGTCTCGCATCCCTCCTCCCTTGGGCGCCCGGGACTGAGTCGCGCAACCCTCCTCCCTTAGGCGCCCGGGACTGAGTCGCGCATCCCTCCTCCCTTGGGCGTTCGGGACTGAGTCGCACATCCCTCCTCCCTTAGGCGCCCGGGACTGAGTCGCACATCCCTCCTCCCTTAGGGACTGAGTCGCACATCCCTCCTCCCTTAGGGACTGAGTCGCGCATCCCTCCTCCCTTAGGGACTGAGTCGCGCATCCCTCCTCCCTGAGGCGCCCGGGACTGAGTCGCGCATCCCTCCTCCCTTGGGCGTTCGGGACTGAGTCGCGCATCCCTCCTCCCTTGGGCGTTCGGGACTTAGTCGCGCATCCCTCCTCCCTTGGGCGTTCGGGACTTAGTCGCGCATCCCTCCTCCCTTGGGCGTTCGGGACTTAGTCGCGCATCCCTCCTCCCTTAGGCGCCCAGGACTGAGTCTCGCATCCCTCCTCCCTTAGGCGCCCGGGACTGAGTCGCGCATCCCTCCTCCCTTGGGCGCCCGGGACTGAGTCGCGCATCCCTCCTCCCTTGGGCGCCCGGGACTGAGTCGCGCAACCCTCCTCCCTTAGGCGCCCGGGACTGAGTCGCGCATCCCTCCTCCCTTGGGCGCCCGGGACTGAGTCGCACATCCCTCCTCCCTTAGGGACTGAGTCGCGCATCCCTCCTCCCTTAGGGACTGAGTCGCGCATCCCTCCTCCCTGAGGCGCCCGGGACTGAGTCGCGCATCCCTCCTCCCTTAGGCGCCCGGGACTGAGTCGCGCATCCCTCCTCCCTTGCGCGCCCGGGACTGAGTCGCGCATCCCTCCTCCCTTAGGCGCCCGGGACTGAGTCGCACATCCCTCCTCCCTTAGGGACTGAGTCGCACATCCCTCCTCCCTTAGGGACTGAGTCGCGCATCCCTCCTCCCTTAGGGACTGAGTCGCGCATCCCTCCTCCCTGAGGCGCCCGGGACTGAGTCGCGCATCCCTCCTCCCTGAGGCGCCCGGGACTGAGTCGCGCATCCCTCCTCCCTGAGGCGCCCGGGACTGAGTCGCGCATCCCTCCTCCCTGAGGCGCCCGGGACTGAGTCGCACATCCCTCCTCCCTTAGGCACCCCTCAGCCCGGGTTGCCACGTCGCGCTGAGGAGAGTCATCTCTGCTGTGAATAGGCCCTTGCTGGCTGTCGTTTCAGATACAGCGGTGTGTACGTGTGGATCCAAGCTCCCTAACTATCCCTTCTCCCAATCTTTCCCAGCTGGTAATCTTAAGTTCATTCTCTAAGTCTGCGAATCTGTTTCTGTTTTGTAAATGAGTTCATTTGTATCATTTCATTTATTTAAACAGAATTTTTTAGATTTATTTTATTTTCGGCCATGCTGGGTCATCGCCGCTGCGCGGGCTTTTCTGTGCTCACGGTGAGCCGGGGCTGCTCTCGCTGCGGTGCACATGCTTCCCGTTGCAGTGGCCTCTCCTTTCGGGAGTACAGGCTCTAGGGCGTGCAGGCTTCAGGAGTTCTGGCTCCCAGGCTTAGCTGCTCCATGGCATGTGGGATCTTCCCAGATCAGGGACCAAACCTGTGTCTCTTGCATTGGCAGGTGGATTCCTTACCACTGAGCCACCAGGGAAGCCCCTCATTTGTATCATTTCTTAAAAACTTTATTTTAGATTATTTTAGTAGGCAATATTCAAGGACACTGTGTATGTGTGTGTGAGAAGAGAAAATTAAAACATAAAATTATGATGTGTGTGGTTACCTAATATATAGAAGAGTTTCATGTCAATAAAGGTTTTTCAGTCTTCAACTTAATCTAAAAATTTCCTTTAAATGCATTTATTAGTTATAATTTAATTTTCTTTTAAAAATTCATATCAATTGCTCTCTCTTCCCTCTGTCTATCCCAAATTTTTTGTCTAGACAGCTGTGCTTGGGAAGGTTGAAACTCAAGGAACAGGAACTGGGCAAGGAGCAGCACTAAAGAGGAAACAAAAGGCTTACAAAATGGAAAAAAGAAAAATAGAATATGGGGCATGGACTATTCTGTATGTACCACAACTTAGGAAGCAGTACCGCATAACCTCTTGACCCCACTCTCTTAGCACATAAAGTGGGAAGGAAACTGTTCTACTTGCTCTGTGGTTGAGTTAGTTTTAATCATAGCTTGATGATGAGCATTATATGGAAATGGTAAATATCACCAGTTGAATTCAAACACTTTAAAAAGCAAACACGATTTTGCTCATGAATCTGTGTTTTCTTCAACAGGAAGTTATCTCATTCGAACCTGGTTCAGCTTTATGGAGTGTGTATACAGCAGAAGCCCCTCTATATTGTGACAGAGTTTATGGAAAATGGCTGCCTACTTAACTATCTGAGAGAGAGAAAAGGAAAGCTTAGCAAGGAGATGCTACTGAGTGTGTGCCAAGATATCTGTGAAGGAATGGAGTATCTGGAGAGAAACTGCTTTATCCATAGAGATTTAGTAAGTACAGTGCAAATTTGCTGACTGTTTTGTGTATTAAACATATATTGAAAGTTAGGACTTTTAATACTTTAAATAATGCATCCTTTGGCTTAATTTTAAAACATTTTTCTATTCATGTAATTTGTTGGGAAATGTAGCTTTATTTTCTATTGCCAACTGATGCTGTAACCAAGTAAGATGTTACTCTACATGTGTCTTGAACTAATTGTTCACCAACAAATCAACTAAAACTACTTTTCTTTCCTCTCTCCCCCTTTCTTCTTCCTTCTCTTACTGCAATCTTTCTTTCTTTCAACCAATAATCAGCACATATTAAGTGCTTATATATGGCAAGCTCTTTGCCAGGTGCTGGAGGACCATGCTGAAGAACCAGCCCCAGTGGGTCTCACCCAGTGGGTGAAACTGCCTCCGAGTGGAGGTGGTTTGGTTCTTACAGCATCGTAAAAGCACTACTGGCATTATTTAGAAGGCCTTGAAGTGTTAAACCATCCTGTTCTGTTTTGCTCAGAACAAGCAACCAAACAAAAAGATCAAAGCTTGTTTTACCTCAGAAGCAAATAGCTCTGCTTCCCTGCCTTGCTACCTCCCCTTGAAGAACACTTTCTATCTGCTCCATATTTATTCATGATATTCGTACTGTTCCTTCTGTGTCCTTTCGTGTCTCATTTCTAAGTTCCCAAATTAAATCCAATGAAAATTTGAGAATTTATGAGAAGTCCCTGTTACTGACACTTACAGGTAATCCTAAACTTCCATCATCCATGACTAGGGTGACCATAATATCTGTCATTCAGGCTGGACTATTTTGGGGAAAGAAAGGGGTCATAATTTCATTAGCCCCAGCACACCACTGCTTGTCCTACACATGGTTTAGAGCTCTCATTGGCATTATTTACTACCTCCTTTAATAATTGTTTACATTGTTTACACAAATATTAGACTCCAGACTCCTTGGCATCAAGGTGTTGACTTCTGAGCTGCAGTTCAGTGTCCTGAGAGAGCAAGTTGCCGAGCAATGGCTCTCAAATTCAGCTGGACATTAGAATTACCCGGGAGCTTCAAAACATCGCAGTAGCAAGCCCATACCACCAACCAATGAAATCACAATCTCTGGGGGTAAACATCTAGTGATCAGCTTCTTTGAAAAATTTCCCTGATAAGTTCATTATGTAGTCAAGATGGCATACCCTGCCTCAGAGCTAGTTGAAATCTCGCCTTTGTTTCTTACTAGCCATGTGACCTTAAGTAAGTTAGTTAACTAGTCAAGTGGTGTTAATTATAGCACCTTCTTCCTATGGGCTTACTGGGAGGATTACATGAATTAATATGTGTAAGCTCTTAAAGCAGTGCCTGGCACGTAGAAAAGCTCCACCATTGTTTTACATGCCTCATGACACATTCCCCAGTGTCTGGCCTGAGTTGCATTGAGCACACATTTTATTGGATGGATATGGTATCGATTCCACCTAACTCACCTTCCTAGTCTCTGCGTTTGTCCTCCCCGCAAAGATTAGATTCAAAATTCAGTCAGGTTTGCTCCAGCTGTCTCCTTGCAGAGCTGCCTAGTCTTGGCTCCTCCCTCGCCCCTTTCTCTGGTGCCCCGTTTCCCCCACCTACGTGCCACTTAGGGTATGCCAGCTAACAATGCGTGTTTTCTCTGCTGAGGGCTTGCCTTGTGGTTTGACTTTGAGATCATTGCTGGCATTTGTCAACATCTTCCAGACTGGCTCCTGCTGGTTCTCCATTTCAAGTTTTTTCTTTTGTTTGAACTAACTGAACCACAAATTAGCTCAAAAGAGAAAAATTCTGTCAAACCTTTGACCTACATAAGGCTAAAAAATCAAGTCAATGATTTTCCTGACTAAGCTGACTGAAAATAGATTGTCTTGGCATTAAATAATTTCTGCATTATATACTACTATATTTAGTTCACTGTGGTTTAATAAATAAGAAAATATCAATTGTAAACAGTTACATTCAATGAAATGTTGTTTTAAATACAATTTATTAATTTCTATAAGTAATTTTATATAATGATTATCCCAAACATATATAATGATCTTTTATTTTTCATGCATATTGGACTTTCCTCTTTTTATTTATAAAGGTAAAGTTTTAAATACACACTGTTTTTTATATCAAGATTCATAGTTTTTTACCTCTTAGGTTGAGTTTATCCTGATACTTGTCAAGGATACTTCTTGAGAAAGATTACACATTTTAAAAAGGAAAAAAGTTAGTTAAAATTCTACTTTTTTTATCATTTCTTCAAAAAGATCACTAAAATCCTTCTTGCAAGGGCAGATACATTAAATCCTATGTAGCATTGACAGATATCACCATGAAGTAACATGGCTATTCACTCAGAGGTAGTGCTGAGCCACAAAGGAGATAAGGAAAAGAGTACAAACTCTGGAAAGAAAAAAAACTTTGTATTCAAACCTGGATTCTTTTCTTCCTTCTACAGGCAGCAAGGAATTGTTTGGTCAGTTCTACATGCATAATAAAAGTTTCGGACTTTGGAATGACAAGGTACATGGCACACTTTCTTTATTTGCTCACTCATAGTAGGGAAGCTCACATTTGTTTGTAGACAGACTGAAGGTGTTCTCATAGTAGGGAATCTCACATTCGTTTGTAGACAGACTAAAGGTGTTCTCATAGTAGGGAATCTCACATTCGTTTGTAGACAGACTGAAGGTGTTCTCATAGTAGGGAAGCTCACATTCGTTTGTAGACAGACTGAAGGTGTTCTCATAGTAGGGAAGCTCACATTCGTTTGTAGACAGACTGAAGGTGTTATTGGTTTTGCTCTTGTTTCCCTGAAGCAAGTGTTGATGTGGTTGGATGTCCTGCTGACCCAATTTGAGCTTTAGGACAGGCACCAATTTAGCTATAAGGGAAACTGAGACTGTGGGCTAGTCTTCTGACGCGTCAGGTTGTTATCAATAAAAGTGTGTCATCCCTTAAAAATAAAAAGAATTTCCCAGTCTATTTATCATATGTAGAAGGTTAAGAGAAAAGTTTTCCTTATATGTTTCTGAAATAGAAAAAAAAGAATCTGTTTGCTCAGCTCTGACTTTGCTGTCCCTTTCCTGCATTTCTCTTATCAACTGTGGTAGCTGACAGACAGCAAGGGTGTGAACATAAGGTTGGAAACCCTTATTTTCAACAACTCAGTGCAATTTATATTTTGAGTCTGCTTTCCTTCAGGTTGCTAGAAATTTAATCCTAGTGATTTCAGGTTTTCTCCCTGACTCTCTTCAGGGTCAAAATCCAAACTCCTTCTGTCTCATGGGGCCACATTCTAGAGATGGCCTGACTGGTCCCTGTTGCTATCCACAGACACTGTCTTCCCCGCAGCCACCATCATCCTGTCTTGTCCTTGTCTGACTCTTCACACAGGTGGTTGCTGACTCATCCTGAATTTCTGTCTGCAAGATTCCTTCATGCCTGGCATTATTAAACCACAGGCCTGTTTTAGACTGAAGAATTGCTATGGTTTTCTGAGATTCAAATATAATAAACGCAATGGAGGTTTGGTTTAAGGAGGAAACTGTATAAGGGTTACTTTCCCACCTTGAGAGTAAGAACAGAAGGTATACTGAGCCTTTCTGTGGTAAAATACTTTGTATTTTAGAAATCAGGGTTAACTGAAAGGATTAGAAGTACCCAGAACTTAGGGGTGGTTAACACAATGTGCTCTGAAATCTGATCGCCCTAGGTATGTTTTGGATGATGAATATGTCAGTTCTTCTGGAGCCAAGTTCCCAGTCAAGTGGTCCCCTCCTGAAGTTTTCCATTTCAACAGATATAGCAGCAAATCTGACGTCTGGTCCTTCGGTGAGTGAATTTGATGTTCATTTGTTAGAGCTTCATTGAATAAAATAGAGATTGCTCTTTTAACTTTGATTTCTTAATATGATCTAGCTAAAAGTCTTCTTATAACCATGTTTCTGTCTCAGGTGTTCTAACACATCAGATTGTCTTTGGCAACTGGCAACCTTCTTACATAAATTTGCCTTTAGGGTCTTTTCCTTTCCCAGTGAGCACTTGCTGTAAAAACCATTACAGTCTGCTGGTTCAGAAAACAAATTCATCCAACCTTCCCACACCACAGAGATTTGCAAGGAAAACTGATCTTACAGCATCATTTAATCTTGAGTGTAATTAATAACCTTCATTGCTTGACTATCAGTGATGCCATCTCATTTACATTATTATTCCCATATTTTGTGAAATTAGACATAGGCTTCCTTGAGGTTTATCAATTGCTATTTATTTTGGGTAATGTTCTTCATTGAAAAAGAGATACTGTGGACCCATGTCTGATGCAATTTGTTCTTTGACTTTCAGAAAATGGCAATCAATGTATAAATGATCTATCTATTCTCTTTCACCTTGACCTTCCTGGGTGCCTTCTTAGGTTTTGAGAGACATCTGTACCCTCAAAGGGTGTGAATATTATTGCCCACAGTAAGGTTTAGCCTGTATTGATCTCATTAGCTCGCCACTGACATATGATAGTCTTGGCTGGTGACATTTTAAGCTCTGCTGGAGAGCAGTTGAGTTGTGAGACCAATGCCAAAGCCTTTGACTGTATGGATCACAATAAACTGTGGAAAACTCTGAAAGAGATGGGAATACCAGACCACCTGACCTGCCTCTTGAGAAATCTATATGCAGGTCAGGAAGCAACAGTTAGAACTGGACATGGAACAACAGACTGGTTCCAAATAGGAAAAGGAGTACATCAAGGCTGTATATTGTCACCCTGCTTATTTAACTTATATGCAGAGTACATCATGAGAAACTCTGGGCTGGAGAAGCACAAGCTAGAATCAAGATTGCCAGGAGATATATCAATAACCTCAGATGTGCAGATGGCACCACCCTTATGGCAGAAAGTGAAGAAGAACTAAAGAGCCTCTTGATGACAGTGAAAGAGGAGAGTGAAAAAGTTGTCTTAAAGCTCAACATTCAGAAAACTAAGATCATGGCATCCAGTCCCATCACTTCACGGCAAATAGATGGGGAAACAGTGGAAACAGTCAGACTTTATTTTGTGGGGCTCCAAAATCACTGCAGATGGTGATTGCAGCCATGAAATTAAAGACATTTACTCCTTGGAAGGAAAGCTGTGACCAACCTAGATAGTATATTAAAAAGCAGAGACATTACTTTACCAACAAAGGTCCTTCTCGTCAAGGCTATGGTTTTTCCAGTGGTCATGTATGGATGTGAGAGTTGGACTATGAAGAAAGCTGAGCGCCGAAGAAATGATGCTTTTGAACTGTAGTGTTGGAGAAGACTTTGAGAGTCCCTTGGACTGCAAGGAGATCCAACCAGTCCATCGTAAAGGAGATCAGTCCTGGGTGTTCATTGGAAGGACTGATGCTGAAGCTGAAACTCCAGTACTTTGGCCACCTCATGCGAAGAGTTGACTCATTGGAAAAGACCCTGATGCTGGGAGGGATTGGGGGCAGGAGGAGAAGGGGATGATAGAGGATGAGATGGTTGGATGGCATCACCAACTCTATGGACATGGGTTTGGGTGAACTCCAGGAGTTGGTGATGGACAGGGAGGCCTGGCGTGCTGCAATTCATGGGGTCTCAAAGAGTCGGACAGGACTGAGCAACTGAACTGAACTAAACTGAATGCTGGTTGTAGAACAATTTGAAACCCTTGAGTTTTACCTGACCACCTGTCTTTCATCCTCACTGGACAGTAAGCTTCTTAAATTCTTAAGAACTTGGACAGATTTCAATCTTAAGAATTCTGTGGCTCTAGCATAAGGGTGGAGTCTGATGAATACATAACACATATTTGTAGAATAAGTGAATAATTAAATGAACTCAAATTGAGAGACTTGAAGGAGCTTCATCAGCCATCAGTGATTTTTGAACACCTGCTTATATAAACAGAACCCCTGCCAGATTTTCTGGGACTCTCCTCAGCAGTCTTTCAGTGGAAAGAGGGAAATGGATGCCATCTACTGGTCAGGAGTTTTCCTGGCCTTAGCAGGCAGCAGGGGATTACACAATATTGCCATTTCCTATGGAATGGTAGAAAGTTTCATTGATGTCAGGGTGTGGAGACATGAATAGTACTTTGAATTAAAGATGCTGCAAGCATTTTCTTCCAATAAGGAGGCAGTTAGGACCAACAGAAAAGGGAAGGAATTGTTTTCCCTTGGAATATATTCAGTTTGAAGACCTCTTCAAAAACTAAGATGCACAGGATCTGCTTCCTGAATAGAACTGCAGTCATTGTGGATGATTGTAATTCCATGGCCGCAGGAGGGAAATAATGCCTTGTAATTAGAAACTGCTCTTTCAGTTCCAAGTAACCACCTCTCTCTAACTTCTTATTTTTATGTGTTTTATTTTCAGGAGTTTTGATGTGGGAAGTTTTTTCAGAAGGAAAAATGCCTTTTGAAAATAGGTCAAATTTGCAAGTTGTGGAAGCTATTTCTAAAGGCTTCAGGCTGTACCGACCTCACCTGGCACCAATGTCCATATATGAAGTCATGTATAGCTGCTGGCATGAGGTGAGTGCCCTTACTTTCCTGCAAAGGTTGGCAGTTCCCACATCTGAGAGCAGATTGATTATCACCCATGTTACCCCAGGATTCTGTCATGGCAGGAAAAGGTTTCTATTTCTTGGTAATTATCCGTGAGAGCCAGAAGTACTTCCACAACAGAAATCATTAACCCATTTTAACAGTGGCCTTTCAACTGAGGAATTCAGTACCTTTTCTAAGTCTTATCTTTCCAAAATTGGTTTCTACAGAAACTCTCAATGTTGTTAAAGCCTCAGTGATGAGAGGTTTTACTCCTTTTAAGAACTTCTGGGTGGAAACTAAGGGTGGAATCAGACTTGTCAATTTTCACATCGAAAGAAAAGGATGGTGTTTTTATTTACTTCACTCTACTCTACTTTGTCTTGCTTTTCCAAGGCTAAGAGTAATGGGTTTCATCTCTCCTGTGGCATTTGAGACTCCTGATAGAGAGATTAAACAAGAATAGGAATGAAGACAGAAGTGTACCAGGAACTTGTACTCAGAAAACACTCTCTCAGAAGGCCAGTTTCTCTTTTACTTAAAATGCCAAGCTTAAAAACAAAGCCAGAAGTGTTTACATCCCACCTCTGTCTTTTCTGGGCACAACTCAACACACCCCTCCCCATCACCAGACTCCACTGTGACTTTGACAGTTCTTCTCTCTTTCCAGTTGATAGTTTCAGCCCAGAATAACTACAGCTGGATGAGGATCTCCTCCTGGCCAAAAAAGAAATCACTCGACTTCCAATTCACAAACACTAAAAAAAATTCAGTATTTCAGAAGTAACATGGTTGCTTCCATTCCAGAGAAGTATCAATTTTATAAGTATCCCCAGTGTATGAAAATACTTCACATATGATTAACTGCTCTGCAAGGAATCTTGAAAGACATAAAAAAAAATATTAAGTAAGCTGTTAGTAGCAAAGAGATGTCTGAAGAGCATCTTTGCAATAATAATGTAAATAGCTCAGGAATGTACATGTTTAAAAGCACTATACTTGTACATGCACATACAATATAATACTTATTGAGATTTTACATATCTGTGGAAAGGAGACAGAGAAAGGAGTAAATAAGATGCTGACAAGAGGACCAAGTAAACAAGATGCTTAAGCATCTCTAGACTCAAACATGATTATATTAGCATGGTTACACTTGTTTCATTGGTTCTACTACTGGCACGACCTCAGCACCAGCAACAGGCTCCACTATTTATCCTTGAAGTCTCAAGGAAGACTCTCACATGTGCTCACATATCCTTCTATTCTGTCCTTTAATTTTTATATTTTATCTGCTCTATTTAAAAAATTTAGTTTATTAAACTGTAGTTGACTTGCAGTGTTGTGTATTAGCTGCTGCTGCACAGCAAAGTGATCCAGTTATACATGTACGTACATTCTTCTTATTCTTTCTGTTACGGTTTATCACAAGAGATTGAATATGGTTCCCTGTGTATACAGTAGGGCCTTGTTGTTTATCCATTCTTTATATAATAGTTTGCACCTGCTAATCCCAAACTCCCAATCCATCCCTCCTCCACTCCCCCTCACCCTTGGCAACCACAAATTTGTTCTCTATGTCTATGAGTCTGTTTCTTTTTTATAGATAATTTCATGTGTTTCACAGTTTATCCTACATATAAGTAATATCATGTGGTATTTGTCTTTCTCTTTCTGACCGACTTCACTCAGCATGATAACTTTAGGTCTACCCACGTTGCTGCACATGGTATTACTTTCTCTTTTTTATGGCTGAGTAGTATTCCATTGTATATATGTGCTTCCTCTTTATCCATTCCTGCACTGATGCACATTTAGGTTGTCTCCTACTGTGTACTTCTATTGATGCTGTCTGTTTATAAGCCACTAGGCGTGGTGTCTCCCTACTAACTCTGTTGCCAGGGGCCTCTACTTCTATGAATATTTCTATTTCCCATGGATTTCAAAGATGCCATGGAGCTTCCTCATGGAGTCAAAGTCAAACCACATCCCACTGTGAAATACAAAAAAGGCTCTAATCTTCATGGCTGGGAATTTATTGACTGAGCCTTAAGACAACACAATCAATGCTTCAAGACCTGAAAAGGCCCTCATGGAAATATGCCTTTTGCTTTCTGACTAAAATCTGTCTTTCTACAAGGGGTCAGGTATAGTGAATAACTGGGGCTGAACTTGGGGATTTGGGACTCTAGAGGCCCCTCTCTCCCAGCTCTTCCTTTATTCCATGCATATCAAGTCATCCAAATAGATCTCTAGGGCAGATCTATGGAACGTTCTGTGGTGATGGAAATATGCTATCTGCATTGTCCAATAGGTCAGGCCATACTGGCTATCAAAGAATTGAAAAGTGGCTAGGGTGACTGAGAACTGAATTTTAAGATGTATCTAATTTCAGTTAATTTAAATAGCCACATGCGCCTAGTGTTTGCATGTCTAGCCATTTTATTTTTGCAGCGATCTCTTCCCTTATGTTTTCACACCCCTGCCTCGCTCAACTGCTGTTCATGCCCTATGTATCAGCCAAGATATCCATCTCTTCTGTTCATGGTGAACCAGCCTGGATCCAGGTCCTGCCAGCAAGTTCCAGAGCTGGTCTCTGTGTGAGTCTTAAACTAAGTTGACCGCCTCCAATTCCCTTTTCCAGAAACCTAAAGGCCGCCCGACATTTGCTGAGCTGCTGCAAGTTCTTACAGAGATTGCAGAAACCTGGTGACCTAAACGGACTGCCAACCCAGAGGATCATCCTGCAAGACTGTCATGAAAGGAAACCCCGGGTGAAGTCACTGATGGTGAATATCACCCTTTAGAGTCACTGACTCTGAGAAACAGTGCAAAAATCACAGGCTTTTCCAATTTGTTAAAGCTTGACAGTATTCTGATAATAACTTTTCTACATGTATGTTTGAGAGTGACTTCTAGACTTGGATTTTTCTGTAATATTCTTTATGTCTCATCAATGAAGAATGAAAAAAATTGCTCCATGGTGGTCATTATAGTGGCTGCTCTTCATCAGAAGCGCCCTGAGAGCCCCCAAGGTTACATGAAAACCTTATCCTTTACTGAAGAGGAGTGAATTTTTTTTTTTTTTTTACTTTGGTGGCTCATGCATAGAAGACGAAAATAAATTCTGCTGAATCCTGGAATAAAGGAGCCTCCCCTGCAGGATGTCATGCTTTTGAGCTGTACAGATCTTTATGAAAAATGCACCTTTACAAGCCACATGTGTGGGCATTCTGGAACTGTCCTTCATAATCTTTCTTATGTTATTTAATAAACTATTTTTGCACATATTTGATTATTTCAGCACAGTTTCCTGTGCTCCAGTATTGAACACTGTTACAGGAGAAAGTCCTTTGAACAGGACCTGGTGAAGTTTCTGTCCAGGACAATTCAGAACCTGCATCTCAGTTCTGAAATTTCATACCAGGTAACTGTGAAACTGGATACTAGAGGAAGCCTCATTTTGTCATAGAAAGTACCTCTGGCACCTTCTAGAAGATGACTTGCATTTTCCCATAAGAACAAAAGGAGGCAAAAGCAAGATATTCAAATGTTATACCAAATTCCATTATTTCTGAAGTCCAGGGTTTTAGATTCAAAATGAAATAACCAGTAAGCATCATTAAACCTTAATTTTTCACATACCATTTGCAGGAATGATTAGAAATTGATCTTCATCATCCTCAGTGCTTCAGAAGTATTGGGTTGGCCGAAAAGTTCATTCGCTTTTCAGCCAACCCGATATGTAGGGGAAAGGGTGCTGCAGAAAGTGGGAGTCGTTACCATAAGGTTTAACAATGGGAGGGGCTTTCTAGGTGGCACTTAGTAGTAAAGAACCTGCCTGCCAATGCAGGAAACATAAGAGACATGAGTTTGATCTCTGGGTCGGGAAGATCCCCTGGAGGGGGTTCATGGAACACCTTCCAGCATTCTTGCCTGGAGAATCCCCTGGACAGAGGAACTTGGCAGGCTACAACCCACAGGATCACAAAAATTGCTGGGCACAGCAGAGCACACATGCACTTGGAAATACAGACTGAGAGCTCTGGGGAGGAGCGAGTAATAGATGCGGGAAAGATCATCAGAAAGCACCCACCATTCTTCTCTTCCCAGTGACTCTCTTGCTTTTTTGGCCATTTAACACGTGGTCCAGCATCTTCACTAGTAACAACTTGGAGCCGTTCAGCTATGATCCCTATTTCCTTAAGGCAGATTAGCTCAAGTGTGACTGATGAACCGGGGGACTTTGTCAGTATTAAGTGCCAGTTGGCCAGGTTTGTTTTTCTCCAGCACTTTAATGTTTCAAACTGATCTGGGGTAATTTTCCTCACAACTAAAGAGAAAGCTTTAGCAGTAAATGAGGATCTTAAGGAGAAGCTGAAAGTCTTTTCTAGATGCCTTCTTTTAGTGCCGGTAGTGATGGGTTTGGTGACTTCCTGTATGATGAGTTGTCTGGGAAAGCTGAAAATGCAGGTGAAGAATTGGCTTGGACTGAAGCAGAGTGGCTTCCTTCTGTCACTTGTGCATATCCACTCACTGACCTCATCTCCTGCTCCTCCCCCGTTCACCCAAACTGTTCCTCGAACATTCCAGGCACCTCCTCACCTCAGGGCTTTTGCATCTGCCTGCCTTTTGCCAGGAGTGCTTCTCCTTGATATCAACATGGCTTGCCTCCTCATGTCCTCAAGACTATTGCTCAAATGTCACCCTTTCTGTTACGCTTTCCTGAATCATCCTATTTAAAAAGATAACCCCACCATGGACATTCCCCGTCTCCTTTTTCCATATAGTTTTTATCTATAGCTCTTCAGTTCAGTTCAGTTCAGTCACTCAGTCATGTCCAACTCTTTGCAACACCATGAACCACAGCACGCCAGGCCTCCCTGTCCATCACCAATGCCTGGAGTCCACCCAAACCCATGTCCATAGAGTTGGTGATGCCATCCAACCATCTCATCCTCTGTCATCCCCTTCTCCTCCTGCCCTCAATCTTTCCCAGCATCAGGGTCCTTTCCAATGAGTCAGCTCTTCGCATCAGGTGGCCAAAGTACTGGAGTTTCAGCTTCAGCATCAGGCCTTCCAATGAACACCCAGGACTGATCTCCTTTAGGATGGACTGGTTGGATCTCCTTGCAGTCCAAGGGACTCTCAAGAGTCTTCTCCAACACCATAGTTCAAAAGCATCAATTCTTCGGCACTCAGCTTTCTTTAGAGTCCAACTCTCACATCCATACATGACCACTGGAAAAACCATAGCCTTGACTAGATGGACCTTTGTTGGCAAAGTAATGTCTCTGCTTTTTAGTATGTTATCTAGGTTGGTCATAACTTTCCTTCCAAGGAGTAAGCATCTTTTAATTTCATGGCTGCAATCACCATCTGCAGTGATTTTGGAGCCCCCAAAATAAAGTCTGACACTGTTTCCACTGTTTCCCCATCTATTTACCGTGAAGTGATGGGACTGGATGCCATGATCTTAGTTTTCTGAATGTTGAGCTTTAGGCCAACTTTTTCATTCTCCTCTTTCACTGTCATCAAGAGGCTTTTTAGTTGGTCTTCACTTTCTGCCATAAGGGTGGTGCCATCTGCACATCTGAGGTTATTGATATTTCTCCCGGCAATCTTGATTTCATCTTGTGCTTCCTCCAGCCCAGCGTTTCTCATGATGTACTCTGCATATAAGTTAAATAAGCAGGGTGACAATATACAGCCTTGATGTACTTCTTTTCCTATTTGGAACCAGTCTGTTGTTCCATGCCCAGTTCTAACTGTTGCTTCCTGACCTGTATATGGTTTTCTCAAGAAACAAGTCAAGTGGTCCGGTATTCCCATCTCTTTCAGCATTTTCCACAGTTTATTGTGATCCATACAGTCAAAGGCTTTGGCATAGTCAATAAAGCAGAAATAGATGTTTTTCTGGAACTCTTTTGCTTTTTCAATGATCCAGTGGATGTTGGCAATTTGATCTCTATAGCTCTTAACACTATACAAAAAATCATATATTTCTACTTATTTATTTGGTCTATTGTCTGTCTCATTATCCCTGAAACTGTAACATGTGTGAGGTCAGGCATTTTTGTCTGTTTCATTCATTGCTATATTCCCAGGTCCTTAAATAAGACCCGACACAGAGTTAAGCTTAACACTCATGGAATAACCCAATGAAATACAAGTGGTGGAATTATCCAAAGGCTTCATCTTCCAGAGGTGGGGATCCAGTCTGGTAAGCAGCTCTCCTCTTGGGATTCTTGGCCAATCCATTGCTTTCCCACACAATAGTGGACCATTTTTCCTTCTGGTTATAGTGTATAATCACAAGTGTTCATCTGCTCTTCTTTCTGGTAGAATTCTTACTTTTTCCAGAACAATTTGACTTACCCATAAATTTTCTGTATCTCCCTTTCCCTGTTTACATAGAGAAAATTATGTTTTGTTAGGGATTGACATCAGATTAACAGAAAAAAAAAAAGATTCCCGAATAAATCTATAGAGAAATATAAATTGATGTCATATAGAGACATCAATATTTAATAGAGGAAGTAGATTATCCTCGTGTCTATACAAGGATAGAAGTTTCTTCACACTCCCACCAGATGTACAAGCAGCCTGCAGCTACTTTATTTTATCTGAAATTATCCTGTTTTACTCAGGTGCCCCTACTTGCTTAGGAGTGCTCGAAAAATTTAGCTTAATCTTGTGACTTTAGTCCAGGGCAAAAATGAAAATATTCTATGTGGGTGAAGTGGATTGTCTCTCAGATTTTGCCTTTCCTTCTGTTTCTGCCAAGGTAGCATCTGGGCAGAGAAGAGAGAGGGATGACTTTATCCAGGGAGTGATATTCAAAATATTTACCAACTGATTTGTCACAGGCAAACACCAATCAGAATGGATGCTGGCCGCCAGTAATCAGTCCAGCCCTTCTGATGGAGACCATGACTGTCAACCCTTGAGGTGCTGACATGAATGGAGGGCTGCTTAGATTGGAGCAGTGTCCCCTGGCACCTCTGGTCTCAGCAACACTGCTCATCAGCCTGGTTGCTGCTTGTCCTGCTGGCATTTGCAGACCATGTTGGTGGCTGGTACAGGCTGGCCTCTCATGACTATCTCAGGATACAGAAGCCCTTCCTGGCTGCTGAAACCTCATCCCAGCTCTTGCTGGCAATGTGGGCCCCTCTTAGGCTCTGCTCTGAGTTCCGTTTGTCCCTCAGCATGGGCTGTGTTGTAGCAGAGGCTGCCAGTCACCTTGGCTCTTGAACAATGGGCACCATGACAGTGCTTCTGCGCTCAGTTCATTGAGTTCCTGAGTCCCATTTTGAGTGTGTATGGGAACTTCTGGGTCTTGTTCATGCCACTCAGGGTAGAACAGCTCAGAAAGTTGAAACCCTGCAACTGTGCACTCCCACCCCTCCCCCTTATCACCCTGCCTAACCTTGTTGTGCGGCAGTTTATCTTACTATGGCTGCTTGTGAGGGAACCCTCTCCAGGAATCTGAAATATGAATCACAGCAAAAGCCCCCCACTGCCCTTGGTAGTGTCCACCTGGCCTCCCCTGCCTCGGTGGTATCTTCAACCCATCTAACATCACTCTCCCAAAGAACATGAGATTTTCACTTCCTTGCCCTGGTCCTCACACATTAGAATGATCCAAGAGCTCTTCAAAAATATCTTATTTAACTGCTTTGAGGGGACCCAGGCATTGGTGGTTTTACAATA